AAATCTAAGGAATAGGATTACCCAAGACCTTCAAAGGCATTTACAAAGTTTAACAAACCAAAAAACAGGTAGAGAGAACAACCTAAGTGTGATGGGACACAGGTTGTGTAACATGCTATTTGACCCTTTGGTTTTAAATAAGTCAAATTAGCTCCATTAAGTCCTGCTGAAGATAATTTTCTTCTAATGATTCCCAAAGATTCTGAAGCCCTTTTTTCCGTGTAACAGTGAAAGACATGTCCTTAACAAGAAGGCACATATGGCTTTCTGAATTTGTTAAAAGCCTTACTGCGTTTACCAAGTGCTTTTGGCACTTTCGACATCACACCTGAGGGCTGAAATACCTTGCTTATTCCCATTTCTGCCATGAAAGTGTGAGGATTTGTGTGACTCGACTGGCCTCAGGATGCTTGGAGTGGAAAGTTCCAAGGCTCCTGGGCAGAGGAAACACTCCTGGTGGGGCTCATGGACTCAGGACGAGGACCTCCCTAGCCATTTCTGACAGTAGCTGCACCTCTCTTTGCTGAGAAGCATGCTCCCCGAGGGCCCCACTCCACCCACTTAAATAATACCTCCCTCACAAGAGAATGAAATAAACCTTCCTTCTTACCTGGTATTTATTTGGATTTTCACAGCATTCATTAAAGTGCTTTCCTACGGTAACCTGCAGTAAAGATCATTCCACCCTATTCCAAAATAACAACTCTAAGATGAACTCTCAGAGGCTCAGTATTTTAGGCTTCCAGAAGCCACCCAGTTCAGATTCTGGACTTCTCTTGCTTGGGGACAATGGTTCAGTGAGAGGTCACATGGTCCATATCTACTTATTGGTGGCAGAACAGGAGCTCAACAACCAGTTTAACCAACACCTCTGTATACCTTTCACTGACCCCAACTACTTCCTTCTCTGAATTCACCTGTCCTTTTCTGTCTACCTCTATCATAACCCTTGAACTGTTGCATTTAGCTCTTTTCCCTCTATTGAGTCCCTTTATTCAGTTTGAATACCCTCCTTAGCATCTTACTGAAGAGCCACTCATAACTGTCTGAGAAATGAACACACAAGTGACCGGAGCTTTACTCTCCTGCCTTCCTTGCAACTGTTCATTTTCCCTGTTTACAGACTCAAGATTGCATAAATGTCTCTCATAATTATGTAGTTACATATGCTTGCCAAGTGCCTCAAGACCATAAAAAGCTTTATAAATGCCAACTGTGATTATAACTCTTGAAACAATGGGATACATGGTTAACAAGTGGAAAGAGGTGAGACACAGCCAGCAATTCTTGCTCTGTGCCGGTTTCTATCCCCACTCACCAACAGCTAGTACTTCAAGGTGAAAACATAAACCTGGAAGGGTTGAGGTTTTACTTGGGGTCTGCAGCATTTCTAGAACCTGCTTTGTGGCCCTACCATCATGAGGGAAGGCACCCATGTCTGACAAAAGGAATCCTGGGGAAGATTTTCCACATATACACACATATATCAATACCCAGTGTGAGGTATGAAGTGAAGCTCATATGGAAAGGTGCTTATTTTTACCTATCAATAAATTGGTTTTCCCTTCAAGAGCAGAAGATGAGCAAGTGAGGAGAGGGACAGGAAAGTGTGAAGGTTGTCAGTTTTTCTTCTCCATTTCCTCTGTTACCGGCTTATAGGGGAAAGAGAGGCAGGACATGTCTCCTTTTCCTTTTGTTCTCCTTTCTCTTGCTGCATCACAGAAAATGATCAGAAAAAAGTGTGCTGTGTGGTGAACAAATGGGACATTCAGATGCCTCCCCACCACCCCTGAGCCACGTGTGGGGAAAGAGAAGGCAGAGGATTCTGTTCAGTTGTTGCATTATGGGTTCTTAACAATTGTTGATTTCTATAGCCAGACATGATTCATTAATTCAAACTTTTCACATGGCTTCTGCCATCCATTGTAAAACAAACCAAAATCAATGAGCTGATTGTTCCCTACTTGCTGTTGTCTGGCCTCAGAGGTCAGTGCTGGGCACAGAGAGCACTGTGATTGGCAAGAAGGAGGAGGCAAGGGAACTCTGATGGCAGGACTCCACAGCTCCAAGCCAGCAGTGAGCTAAAGGATGGTTGATCAACTTGTCTCAATGTCTGAAGGTATTAACCAGGTCCTGAACAAAACAGGCCCTGAGTCTCAGATTGGAAACATCAAATTATCTGGGAGCAGAGGATTTGTGGGTGGGTGCCTGGGATGATGTGGGGAGGTCACTTCACATCACAGGTTTCTTGGCAACAGGTAGAGAGGGAGTAGATCCATGGAACTGTGGTTTGGATTTTTTGCCAAATGGCTCCTGTTTCCCCAGAGAACTGGGATGTGGGACCAGTTCCACCTTTTCCCATTTCTCGGCTATAGCTCTGTCAGCCACTTCAGCATACTTAATGCTTTGGCATGAGGAGCTGGTGAGGTGGCTCCATTACCTCCTTCCTTGACGTCAGTGAGGGAGTTGTTCCCTGTGGCTGTCTTATGTAAAATAATTCAACATTTGTACTTCAATTAAAATTCATAGGTATATGTTATTAAATGGAACTGACTCATTGCATGGCTTCTCTTCAGCTGAATAAGTGCCAACAAAATGTTACATGCGTGCTAATGATGAAAAGGGCACGAAAACCAAGATTGCCTTCTCATTTGAAAGTCAGGGAGTAAAAAAAGGGTCTTACATCCCAGGTGTCATCCTGTCCCATGTCAGTCTTTTCTGAAGAAAGTTAAGTTCAAGATTGTCTCTGCCTTTGAAAGAAAGAAAAACAATATCCAACCATCATCCACATGCTTCCTTGTGAGCTTTGCTGGGCACAAGGTGTGTCTCAGAGATGGCGTGGAATCCGTTTGAATTAGGCAAGTCTATCCAATGTATCCCCAAGGAAAAGAGGGGAAGCAGGCATTAAACATCACAGCACATCAGGCGTTGCTCGGCAGGAATAGAGCAAGTTTTCTAGATTTTATGAAATCAAACCTCCTTCCCTGTATTACTTCATATTTTGCATTTACTAGGTGTGGGAGGATGACCGTGGGAGGATGACCAAGAGAGCAACTGTCCTGGAGCTTTCTTCTCCTTTCTGAATGGAAAGATCTGGCTTCTCACTCAGGCAGGGTGCTCTGAGCTGAGGACATACAGGAGGTCACTATAGTGCGTTCACTGCCCTCCAGTCTTCACTTGGTAAATGGGCATCACGTCCATTCCTCAGAGCACTTCTGGACCCTTCATGTATGAATATGCTTTGTGTTATAACCATCTAGTATACTATTACAGGGGAAAACAATAACTTTATGAACTACAGAACATTTACAAAAGGGAGGGATATTCAGAAAGACAAATAATAGTTCCTAAGGGATGCAATGAGGGCCATCAAAATGAGGCTTTGCAGCCTAGGCTGCCTCAAGCACATACAGCCTTTCAGTGCAAAGAAAAAGGACAGACCTGCAGAGTTACAGATAACTGAGCAAGTCCCATCTTTGACCAAAGAAAGAAAGGTATCCCTTTTCTAGGGAGATGAAGCCCTACACCCGGATTTCCAGCATTCTTGCAAACTCAATTCCAACAGCTCTGATTTGAGTTCCCGTTCTGCTAGCTCTAGTTTAGTAATTGCAGGATCATGTCTGAGCCTCAGTTTTTACCCAAAGAGAAAGAGGGAATTGAATTGTGATTTCTGAGTCTTTCTTCAGCTCTAAAAGCAACAAAAGCTTGAATGGGTTTTTCCATTTACTACAAAAAGGACTATACAGCTTATAGACTATGATTTCTGAGTTTGGTTTGCATAAGTCATCTGATGGCACTCCCTAAATATTTGAATGAAATTATGTATGGTTTGATGTGGAGGAGATTAAAAAATGAATGCTTTAGTATATACATGAAGTTCCAGGTGTAAAGCAAACGGTGAACCAGCAAAACAGGAATAACTACTCCCTGTTGTCGGCAATGACAGAAAATGTGGATCTCACTCAAGTCTATTGAGGCCATCTCCCACTTTCTATAGGGTTGAAAGGCACACTCTGTGCCGAACTGGCTGCCTCTCCCTAAGCACCCAGCACGCCCAGGAAGCAGGATTTTCAAGGAGCCAAGGACTGTTTTCTTTGTTGATGCCTTGTTACCAGAAAACAGAAATTAGATCCTTGCCCAGATTCGCCTATCAGCAAATCTGAGTGCCAGCAAGCGCTTCACAGTGGAAGAGCAAACAAATAACAATCAACTTCTTCACGTCTCAGGAGCTGTTAGCTGTTGGGTTTAGAATTTCATAACTGTACACGCATGGAATGACCCCATTCACAAATCTCAAATGCTAACAGAAATGTTTGGTCGTATTTGTCAATATTTCCAAAATTAGTTTTGCTGTTGATTTGTATTTGGTTTGTATCTTGGGCAAGACAGAGCATTTGTGAAATAATTGTAACTAATTATGTCACCTTCAGAGAAAGAAACTGGAGCCCAGAAAGAGAAGGGAAGGGGTTCGCTCTAAGTCACACAGCAGAGCTGATCTGTAGCCAGGCTGGGATTAGACTTTAGTGTTTTTTTTCCATTTTCTGTGATAAAAATGCAACCAGAAGATTTGACAGTAAAAATAAGGACAGTACCTACATCACTTTAACTTAATTTCTTAGTTTCAAAGAATGAATGTTCTTTATGCTAACCAAGATCATAAATGGAAGAAAGTAAACTTCACCTTAGTCAGTGCACACCACAAGAGTGGATGTGGTCTCCCACTGGCTACACATGCCTCAGGCTGTCAGATGCCAGAATACTTCCAAGGACAGAGTAGTGTCTTTGCAACGAACCCCTAAGCCATTAAGAACCAAACATGTTCTGTTAACACTCCTGTTTGTTAACCAACTCTGTCTCTTTCAAAGTAGGTGGCAACCTTCTTGTAGTGTACTGCATGCTAGCAAAACAGGGTCAATATTGCTCCTGGGTGGTTCCAGGTAGTTCCAAAACTATTGTCTGAACATAAAATGGACATTTGTGAGAAGAAAGATGACCAGATGTCAAATAAGGCTCCCTTTATTAAACAACTCAGACACAAGCATGCATCTGTGAGCTGGATAGCAGCACTGCCCAAACAGAGGTGGGCAAAGACTGGAACCTGTCAGAGAAGCACTTCCTTATGTATGACACATCTCTTCTCACCAGTGGCTGCCCCTCTCCAGCAGCCTGATAATGATGGTTGAGGCAGGGGTATTATAAAGATGCTCTTCCACTGCAACTGCCACATAAAGACAACTCGGAGGCAGGTCATTACAGAGCATTATGGAAGGGAGTCAAAGTTTCCAGTGTAAAGTTGTTTATTCTCTGGTGAAAATACCAGTCCCAGAGCTCCACTGTAGGACTTGGCAAGGCTGTGTTCCTTCTCTCAGACAGTCCTCATCCCAGAGGTGGCATCATGGAACATGAAAGTCCCTTCTGCCTGTAATTCTTGGGGCTCTGCAGACCCTGCCAGGGGGTCCTCGGTCCCAAGGCATGCTTGCTGTGGAGAGTCTGAGCTCACAACCATCAACACCATGACAGGACACAGAGTAAAGGCAACAGGCCACAGAGGCCGGAGACCAAGTGGCACGGGTCTAACTTTCAACCCAGGGTACGCTTGAGCTGTGGGGTTGCCAAGAACCAGCTTATTCATTTGAGCTTCTGAATGTGCAGCAAATCACTTGTGTGTAGTGTGTGCATGTATGTGTGTGATGTGTTTGTGTTTATGTGCATGTGGCATGTTTAGGAGATCATGTGGTATATGTAGCATGAGTTTGTGTGTTTCTGTAGTATATTTGTGCTTATATGTATGCAGTATATTTGTTTATATGTATGGTGTGTGGAGTACATTTGTTGTGACTTTACGAGCGATGTGTTGGGGGATATGACCGGGCTCTGAAAGGTGAGCTGAAGAAAGCCAGGAGAGACAGGAGTGAGGCAAAGCAAGCATCTTTAGGAACAGAAGGGAAATCTAGAGACTCATATTAGCCTCTTAATTTATAACATGACTCTGTACAAAAATAAAAAGGTTCTTATAAGATTAACAATTTAAATAAATATTCAATAGAACACTCTTTCTCATTTCTATAGTTCGTCTTTGGGGTTAATGGGCAGGTCATGCATCCCATGCTGTTCTTGATCCAAGATTGCAATCACTTCATCAGCCTTTATCCGCTCCTGCAAAAAGACAATTGACACATTTGAGTTGCAAGCACAATAACCAGCCACAGCAACAGATGCATCCCCAACACTTCCAGCCAGCCATCTGTGCACAGATTGGTGCTAAATCCAGCCAGGGATAAGAAGGCTTCGTCTCCAAACTGGTGCGTTCCCCCGCATCCCTGAGTCCTAAGCAACTGCCTTCCAAGATTTCTCTCCTGAAGTTTGGTGGTCAGTGGCTTTCTACCCTTTCTTCCTTGTGGTCTCACGTCTGGGTCCAGTTCCGCTCAGTGCTCAGAGTGAGGTCACCCTTTTCTCCTCTCAGACCTGTTCTGCTCTTCTGCATAAGTTTTTTCTCCCAGAAAAGACTACTCCTGCTCACCAGTTGCCTGAAAAGCCATTCCCTGGTCTCCTGTACAGGAGAATGGGGAATCTCACTTTTTTGGTCACTGTTGTGTTTCCAGTGCTCAGAAAAACTACTACCTCTTTTCAAGAGCTCCATCAATGAATAAACACATAAATGGATGAAGCCTAAATTATATCTTCCTATCTTGTAAAACTTATTTCAAATACTGTCTCCCAAAAGAAAGCTTTCCTAATTGATTTTTTATATCCCTATGCCATGTCATTTGACATATTATTACCAAACCTTGCCTTGTGTTTTAATGACTTGAGTCCCTGTTATCTCTCTAGTTTGACCTTAGGCTTCATGAAAATAGGGGTTATGCCCTATTTACTTTCTATTCCCCACTGGTAGTCTCTAGCACAGTTTCTACCACAGCAAGTTATAAGAATAACTATTTTGTGACCTATTTTGTGTGCAGGGTGGCACACACCTTTAATCCCAGCACTTGGGAGGCAGAGGCAGGCGGATCTTTGTGATTTCGAGGCCAGCCTGGTCTACAGAGTGAGTTCCAGGACAGCTGGGGCTACAAGGAGATGCTGTCTCAAAAAGACATACACACACACAAAAAATGACGTTGAGGGTGTTGCACAGATGGCTCAGCAGTTAAGGGCATTTACTGCTCTTCCAGAAGACCCAGGTTCAGCTCCCAGCACTCACATGGCAGCTAACACTGATCCTTGACTCCAGTTCCAGGAGATCTGGCACCCTCTTTTGGCCTCCATGGGTACCAGGTGTGTACATGGTACACATACATACATGCAGGCAAAACACTCACACACATAAAGAAAAATAAATAACATCTTTGTAAAAAATGATGTTGACATAAAGGCAACTGAAAGGACGAAATGCACTTAGTAATAGAAAATTAAAGTGTCTCATCCGAGAACACTATGAATATGGGAGAATAATTTCAATGCTTAACAGATTGACATGTATGCAAAGCTTTCATTCTGATGGCCACAGGAAGCTATTACATCATACTTCTCGTGCAGGGAAAGATTCAAGTTTTGGGAGAGAAGCATCTTATCCTGAAATATTTATGCCGCTAAATTCTTCTGTGCAATCAAGTGTAGTTACCACATTCTGTAATATGTATGGGGAATCTGTTATTCATCTGTTCACAGACAGGCTTTCTTTGCCCAGGGATCCAATCTAATTCAGTCTTTAAGCTAGAGACTCAGAAACTTGGTTGCATATTGGAAAAACATGGGGAAAATTAAAAATTTCTGAGAGTAAGATCGCACAGCAGATAATAGGAATATCTGAAGGCAGTCACTAGGCATCAGTGGTTTGTGAAGATCCTGTGGTGATCTCTGGGAATCGGAGCAGAGGAGACACTTTCCCATGAGCTGAAGTGGCCCTTGTCATTTCGGAGTGTGGTCACTAGATGCCGCTGCAGCCTGAGCTGCAGTGGGAAAGTTTCTTAGTACTTTTCCATCAGAGGAAGCCCTGACATTGAGGTGGTGAAGGAGCTGAGAGAGAACTTGATTTGTGTTCCTTTATTTTAATATACTGGGAGAGAATGGCAAGAACAGCATGATGCTGAATCAATACTAAAATGGGAAGGCAACTTTCCCACAATTTGATGTAATCACAATGTGTTCATTTGTCTCCGGACCTTAGGTTTAGTTCTGGCAATGTGGAGGTTGAAACACTTAAGGGAAGAGAAACTTCCCTTAGATGAAGGAGACTGCTGACCAACAGTGACGTTATTTTCAGGACTCTGCTGGGTTCTCTCTGCCACTGCCAACTCTCTCTTTGTGAGCCAGGCAGCCGGGCTGTCACTGTCTCTGTGTCTGAGCTGATGTGAGTCTTCCCTGCTGCCTGCTACCAATGCGTACACTGTGTGCTCCTTTCCTGGCTCTGTCCATGCTAGTAGTCAGAGACTATCCTCTGTTCAATTTGGCACCCTAATGAACTACTTAAGCAGAGCTCTCCAAACACATTTCTCAATACTTAGAGAATGTGGGCAAAATGAAATTTTAGTTTTGATAGTGGAAAGGGAGACTACTTTTAACCAGTTTCTGATGAAATTAGAGTCAATTTGGAAAATAAAGAGGAAAACCAAGGGCTGGAGAGATGACTCAGAGATTAAGGGCACTAGTTGCTCTTGCGGAGGACCTAGGTTCGATTCCCAGTACCCTCATGATGGCTAACAACTCCTTAACTCAAGCTATAAGAGATCCAATGCTCTCCTCTGGCCTCCATGAGCACTGCACTCACAGGTACAATGACAAACATGCAGGCAAAACACATACACATAAAACTAAGTAAAAAATAGTTTAAAATGAATAAAGAGACAATCAGATAGAGTGTCATTTTAAGAATAGAGTTGCAAGGGCTGGAGAGATGACTCTGGTTAAGACTGCATACTGCTTTTGCGCCTACATCTGGTAGCTCACAACCACCCATAACTCCAGTTCCAGGGTATCCAACACTCTTGTCTGGACTCCATAGGCTCCTGCACTCGCACATGCGTGCGCACACACAATTAAAAACAAAATAAATATTTAAAAGAATAGAATTTCATAACTCCATCAACACTCCAGCTTGGAGAACACCTTGAAGTCATTCAGTTCACTGTCAGTGACCAGGCAGAACAGTCTCTTGAACTTGGTTAGAGTCCCTGCAATTATTGGCAGAGTTGACAACTCCAGTAAATCACAGTGATGTCTTTAAAGTCATCATGTACTCCCTGCAGTGGGCCTGATGCTTTCTCCCACAAGCTTCTATTCTACCTACTGCTCTTAACTTTGGGCCTCTTCACTGGTGGGGATAGTAACCTCTAACCAAGGGCATCCCAAATGCTAAGATCATGGTCTCTCATTCAAACTTAGTGTCCAAGGCACTTTAAATATTTTATTACCTTAATACTCATTTAATAGGAGTAATACATAGTAATCACCTTTCAGGCCCCTTTATCCTCTTCCACATATGTTTCATAAGTTAGATAATGACATTTTTATGATCTGCTAAGAAAATACTATCATCTTCCTGATGACCAGGAGGAAGTCTTTCTTGGCCCCATACTATAGTGTGTGTCCCTGAGTTCAATATTATTGTGACTACCAAGTTGAAGCAATGTATCTATTTCTGTGAACATGTACACAGTTAGAACTCACCTGGTTACAAATTGCCTTCACAGCCTCTCTTCTTTTCCTTAGATCTATACTATAGAATTTCTTGCAGGGTATGAGTAAGTCAAGGGCTTTTAAAATAGGTTAGTCCAGGAAGCAGGCCTGCCCTTCAGGGTATACTGTGAACTTACCAATTCTCTGTAAAGAGGATCTAGGGTGAACCACAGTGCCACAGCACAGCGCTGTCCTTTGGTGACGGCCTTCACTCCATGTGGGTTCTCACCTCCAGATGAGAAGCTGACCATTCGCCCGCACTTTGGTTTTATAGAGGCCTGGCAACAAAAACATTTTGACTTTTTTAGTGCTTACTCCACTGTCATTTCTTTCTATGGATTATTTGTGTCAAGGTTTGAATCAAAGAACAGTGGGATGTTGGGGTTGAAGGAGACAGATGGTCTCAATTTTTTTCACCTGTAAAATATAGTGTCAATATAGCATTTATGTTATAAGATAAAATGATAAGCAACAGTTGTGGCAAAACCCATGCACATGGGAACTGCTGAGCATGTGGTCGGGTAGCCACCTACCCATTCAAGAAGACGAACACCCTACTTTACTTTACAGCTTTTAACACTGTCAGTATATTAATGCTTAAGGTCGGTGTACACTTAGTATTTGTGAAATTAAAAGGAAAGTAGGACCTCTGGGGTTCCAAAAATTTTTAATTTTGGTTTAGTTCATAGTTACATGAGTGTGACCTTTTTAATTTCTTAATTGTACATCTATGATTAATATGGTTTTCACAATATAAAGGTTTGAATGAATTTCTTCACACCTTTCCTGCCCAGGGGTCATTTGAGCATTGTTTGGCCACCTCCAGTGATGAGAGCACACCTCTCCTTGGGATGGTCTACTCCAAGGCTCTGAAGTTTTGACGTGACTGACACAATATTTCAAAGCTTGCACATTGCTCAGGTGAGGCTGTCCACACTCATTTTGTCCAGGGAATGTGGTAAGGGAGCACATCTACTGAGAGTGCTGAGCTGCAGTGCAAGACCAATACAAGGCTCCTCAGGCTGCTCAAGGACGGGGGGGGGGTGGGTGCTTGAGGCCTTGGTTCTGTGTCTAAGAAAGTGTCTAATGTATGGACACTGTTTTTCCTTAAGGAAATAATGAAAGCTGACCCATTCCATAGCAGAACTTGGACAGGCACAGCAAAGAACAGCTACGCTGTTATGTAGTGAGACAGATACCTACTCTGACTAGCATGTGGAATGACTTAAGAAGAATTTTTGCTTTCTTTATGCATCAAATGAGACTGCTACAGGGGTTTTTCCTAGTGCTCTCAAGAACATGTTTGAAAATTTTTCTGAATTACTTGGATGCTACCTAACATTCATACCGATTTTGGGACGATGTGTAGCAAGTCAGAAGTAAGTGAAGTCAAGTCAGAGTCTCAGGTGTGTGTACATGTGTGTGTGCTTACATGTTTGTAAGTGCCTCTGTGCGTATATATGTGTGTATCTACATGTACCTCTGTGTGTATGTGCCCCTGCATGTATGTGCCTATATGTACCTCTATGTGTATGTGTGTGTGCCTACATTGCCTGTGCATGTATGTGTGCCTACATGTGCCTATGTGTGTGTTTACCTACATTGACTCTGTGTGTGTGTGTGCATGTACGCTGCCTGTGTGGGTACGTGTGTGTGTGCATGTATGCTGCCTGTGGGTGTTGTGCATATGTGTGTCAGAAGGAGGCAAAAAGGAGAAGCTGCTGAGTATATCCACAACAACTTAAGACTGCATTGTCTTTTCTAGATAGATTTGCTTTTCCTAAGCAACTTTAGTGAGTTGGCTTTTCTGCTCATGGACAGATCTCTCTGGTTTCTGGTGCCCTCTGCATCAGTCTAATTACTGTGTCCTGGAAAAGGTCATGCTGTGCCTTTCTACACGTTCATCACACATGAATGATGTCTGAAATCTAGGAGAGAGTGGAAAGCCTTGCTAGTCCATAGGCTGAAGCTGGAGCATCCATTCTCTGGGTTGCTCCTTCCTGGTGATGGCAAGGATTTATTCAGTCACACAAGATGGACTTGCTTCTGTGTCATTAGCAGGGCATGGTAGCAGCACTTTAAAATATTAAACACGATATGGTGCAATGTAGTTTCTCTCTGATGGACTTAGAAGAATAACAAGCATTTTTTCTTCTATGTGTATGTGTGTGTGCATGCTTGCGTGTGTTTGTGTGTGTGTGTGTGTGTGTGTGTGTGTGTGTGTATACAAGTGTGTCAGTGCCCATGGACTCCAGAAAATGGTATATGATCCCTTGGTGCTGGATTTAGAGGTGGATGTGAGCTCCCTGGTACAGGTGCTGGAAATTAAAACTCACGTCCTCTGCAAGAGCAGCATTCACTGTTAGCTGCCAAACCATCTCTCCAGTCCCTAAAGTATCTTTAAATGTGAAGAACTTTGCTTCTTGTGGACTCCTCACATTGATTTCATCAAGGGGGAACCTTTCCTTCTCACATATCAGCACACAGAGGAATAAACAAGTTGTACTGAGCCCGTTCCCACATAGGAGATGGCTTCTACAGGGAGATATATTCTGAGTCTTAGATAATGATTGTGAACATACTTTGGCAACACAAACCATTCATATTAGACTCAATTTTTCATGAAGCAAATTTAGGTCATTAAATTTTGTGTTCTTCAAATGCCTTAATTTGTATCTCACAAATGAATGCTCCTATTAAAAGTAACACATCTTTAGAGAGGATTTTTAAAAAAGCATTCTTTTTCATTCAGCTGGTGATTGCAAGTCAGAGAAGCCCCTGTGCAGTACCTGTTATGAATGAGGGTTGGCCATTGGCCAGCATTTGGTTCATTACATAATCTCGGTAATTTTCCAAAGGGAAGAGCTCAGGAGACTATCTGTGCATGTGCTCAGTGAGACAGTTTCCCTGCTGTGTTGTCAACGTGGGCAGCAAAGGAAAAGCACCCATTCTGCTTACTGAGGATGGAATACATTCGCTGTGGGAAAGGAGAGAACTAGGAGTTCCCAAGTTCTAAGAATTCCTAAATTCCCACCTAATAATTTAAATGATCTATGAAAGCCCTAAAACGTGGCCACACGCATCAATATAAAGCACCATTGAGCTTTGTAATAAAAGTTCAACATTTTGACTACTATCCTCAGGCCTCTTGGGGTAAGTCTATAGCGCAGCTCTCTGCGCCGGGACTCCCTAACCCACATTCACCCTTCCATCCCCCCCGCCATTCTACACTCCTAGTTTGGGCCCTGCACCATTCCTAGTCTTGGGGCCTCAGACACCTGGGGAACCAATACTGCTTCCTGATCCTTCTCACCCAGAGCAACTCAGTCCCTTTCTTGGGCTACAGGAGCACAGCTTCTGGTCCTGGCCCCGCCCTCACCTCCCTCTATTTCCCTGGTCCTGTAACACCCACCAGCCTCTTTCTGGGGCTGACAGCCTCTTTCTGGGGCTCCGAGGATTACCTTTACTCTCCCTGATCCTTTGCATCCAGTGCAACCCAGCTACTCAGTCCACTCCATGGGAAATCTTGGGGCTTCTTCCTACCCCATCTGCCTTTGCATTCCTGTGTGGTGCGGCCAGGGTCTCAGGTCAGTCCAACACCCAAGTTCCTGAGGCCAAAAGCATTCTTAGAAGATTGCAGACCTAAGGAGAAAGTCTGAAAACTTCTGATCCACACTGGAATTGGGCCACCGCGGAACTCCTGAAGACAAAATCAATCCGGCCTCGACAATATAAAATCAAAAGAGAGAACCAGAAGCTTAGACGAACCAGCTCTTCATACCCAAAAAGTAAACCACAAAGACACATAAAGCTCAAAAAAAAGAAGCAGAACTAAACTTGAAGGCCCGAGTATCACACAAGAGTCAGAAACTACAAAAGAAATTCACATGTCAAAATCACAGAGAAAAAATAATAACATGAAAAACCAAAATAACATATCCCCACCAAATACCAGTAATCCTCTAGAGGAGCACAATGAGAATCCCCTAGAGACAATCATGGAACTCAAAAGAACAATGATGAATACGATAAAAGAATTCAGTGAATTTAAAGAACACACAAACAAGGTAATCATAGAGCTGAAGGAAGATAGGGATAAACTTCTGAATGAATTCAG